GATGGCGAATCGAGAGCAAAATACACGTGTGAGGGGGAAATGCAGGGAAAGTGAAATGGAGAGCAAAAGGAAAAAGAAATAGAAATGGTTGAGGTCGGACTGAGACTACTGCTGTCGCAATCCTTTGTTTTTTGTTATTTCGCAGCTTTTTGGGGGGTATGAGCTCGCCAAACGAGTAGGAGCAAGACACGAGCAGGAAGTATGGAATAACCCAATGTTTGTAAAGAGAAAAGAGGCCCGTATCACAATTTTGAAGGACGAAACTTGGACAACAGGAAATAAATGAATAGATGATAAAGATAGAGAGTTATAAAGTAGCAGATAGCTGTTAGCAGATCTGTGGGGGGGCTGTGAAGAAAGTCCCCACTACAATTGAGAAGAAGATGGATCGAAGAGATGGGTAAGATTTGTCTCACATCCAAGATTAAATGATGAATAACTCAACAATCCTATTTTCACTTAATCGCACTGCTCTAATCGTATCAACACGCAATGCGTTTTCAAGCTAACTTTGAGAGTTCACCACATAAATATGCACAAAATGAACAATGTTCTTTCCCTCCTAACATTCTTTCGCTATTTTTTTAAAACAGTGTACTTTATTTATTATGAGAACAGATGTTTATCAGTGAAATAGCATCCTCGGGTTAGATGTGGTTTTTACGTCATAAGTAAACAGCTCACTACAAAGTGAGGCATCATGGTAACTTTAGTAGTGAGTTCTCCTGGAGCGTTGGGACGGGTATGTTGGGACGGATGCGACTGTCAAAGAACGAGGATAACACACACACACACACACACACACACACACACACACACACACACACACACACACACACACACACACACACACACACAGTAAGAGAGTGTGTGACTGTGTGTAATGGTGGGAAGCATAGGGCAATCTGTGGGAGATCTTCTGCATGTAAATACACACGCATGATGTGCCTCAACGCCCTTTCTGTCAGTCTCCATTAATCTATCAGTCCGCACCATCTTCACATTCATGTTTAAAGACCTCTCTACGTATCTTGGGATCCTGAGTTTGGGGCCCCTGAACCCTAATTTCTGTCTCAAGGATCAACAGTACAGCTCTCTGCATTATTGATGTCAGAAACCATGGTCGTTGCCATGGTGATGCCACACTGCAATATAAGACCGCCTGCCCGCCAATGCTTGCAGCAGCTTCAAAGATGGGGAAAAAAAAAAACGACACAGGAGTGTATGAGGGGGGGGGGGGCAAGAGGACTGACTGGCGGGGTCTGCGGCAGGATCCACTAGAATGCTAATCAACCTTTCTCGACAGTTTGTCCTTCATTATGCAGGACACAAAACCTAGGACAACAAAAGGGACGTTAATGTGTGATGGTAAAGACAGGCATCCGTTCAAAAGCCTTTCCACGCACGAGTAGTCACATACACTCCACATGTAAACAGGACCAACAATTCAAGGTCATACGCATGAATACACAGTTGTACACTGTGCAACTGACACAAAAATTGAACAATCCACACACGCATGCACATACTTGCATTGTGTGTGTGCATTGACCCCGCAACATGTGTACATGTGTGCGGCTTAATCTGATGGCAGCCCTGCTGCAGAGAAATCAAATGCTTAATTATTAACGAGCCACAAAATGGATCAAATTGCTCACGACAGCAAAACACCCTTAACAGCAGTCTTGTGAAGTTGCCGGTACAGCAAGAGTTATTCATGCTCTCAGGGAAAAAAGGACACGGATATGTAGAATATTCCCTACGCGCTCAGGGTTTAGGGTCAATGCAGTATAAAGAATATAAAGAATATAAAGAGGAAGCGAAGCTGCAATTACCATTTTTGGCCAAGTTGCTTAGAATCTTATCACCATTTTTTAATTGAATTCAGCATATAATATTACGTTTCATGTTCAGTGCATGTTGAAGTGCAGATCAGAGGGCAGGCTTAGTTTGAAGGGGTTGGGTACAATGTCAAAGTCAAGGTTTCATCTGCAACTGTAATTAAAATAGGACTATGGGGTCACTCTGTTCTCCTTTTATACATCGTCTCAAAGCCTCAACTCCCCACATGATCTCTGGCCCTTCTTTACTTTTATTTGGGAGGTTATTAAATCACTGATGTTTTATTAAGCGTTCCACAAGGATCTATTGTCAGCCTCTTCATAACTTAATCTTCTTGCTAATACTAATACAGGATGCAAAGGGGGATGCCCAGTTCAGCTGATGGCAGTTCATTAAGCTTGGCTTGCTGGATCCAGTGGGTTCACCCCTCGTGATGCAGACCAATGACTTTTACCGCGCTTTCACTTGGAAAATCACGGCTTTACAGAATGTGTGAGAACCATGTCGGTCCTGAGTCAATAAGGAAATCCTCTTGCGTGAGGGTTCAAACCAAAGTCATTCAGCACACCCGCTGGGTACAGCAGGTAGTTACAGCGCTGTGGTCCCAGGGTCAATGCGACTCCCAATTCTCAACAGTGGGGAAGGGAAACGCAAGTGGGGGAGGAGGAGGGATTCTGAGGGAGGCCCCAGGGTTAGGGGGGGGGGCCTAGAATGATGTCGGTGCTCACAGTAATTTGAGTATTTTTACTCGCCCCAATAATTGTTATTCAGTCCAGAGCCAGTCTCACTAGCTCATGAGCTGTATAGAGACCATCAACCATGGTCATATTCTTCACCTTATCATCCCCATTCCAATGAGGCCTGTAGACCCAAGATGAGGGAAAAGGACATATGATGTAGTAGGTCCAGTTTGACCAATATGTTTCCCCCCGCTGGAGCAGCCTCATTGGAACCGATGAGGTGGTTGAGTTATTTGATGTCTGAAGGAGGCCTATCTCGCCTCCGTCTGGTAATTGTTTATTAAACATTTCTTTAAAACGCCTCATGTTGTTTATTACCATAAAGATTTTGTTTATCCATGGTGTGTTTTCATTTCCCCTTTCCCCACTCCACTCCTTAGCCCATGTCTGGGTATTCAGGTTGCCATATGGTTTCTGGTCCCACCTAACAAACCCAGAGGCCCAGTGGAGCTCCAGCCTGCCGTCCCACAGCGGGGCCTCGAGGGTCCACTGCACCAGCAGCGGTGCTGGAAATCTGGCTGGCTAGAAAGGCATGTGGAGTCTCTGCCTCAGCCCAGGCATGCAGATACCCAACCCCAAGGGGGATGCACACTGCTACGCTGGCTCATACATTCACAACTCTCCCCTGGCCGGGAGCTTAGAGGCTGAGAATACTCCGCGAGGACACGACTACAGACATTGACAACTTTCACAAATAGAAACGTTAAGCGAGGCTTTGCTGCAGCCTTTAGGAAGGCTTGAATATATAAGTGGCTCTCATCACAAAGGCAATATTGTTTTGTCTGGAGTTGTACAAATGTGCCAACTACACCTTCCGAGTAGGATCCAAGGAGCACAAGAATGTACATTAGTCCGGCAAGATATCAATCACTAGTTTCCTCAGAGGTCACCCACAGGAACCTTTCTATCAATACCGAAGATGGGAAAAAAAGAACCATAGTTCTCTTAGATAAGTACGATATTTATCACTTCACAGGCTTCTCATTCATTGTAGACACTTTTAGCCGCCCTTCCACCCGCCGCAGAACAAATAAGCAAACAACATGAAAGTCAACATGACAGTCCATCGATACGATCAAAAGAAGTCTCCATAATAATCCACCGTTCACTGCAGTGACCTTCTGACAACCTCTGTTCAGCAGAAGGTCAATGGGGATCCAACCAATGCAGTTGATTTCTGAAGGTCTCCCGGGAGCCATTTAGCAGTCTTGCGGCTTACATACAGAAGTTTATGGCACTTGAAAGAGAAATCATTGGGGAAAATCTCCACTTGGCAGTATTCATAGCGTGTGGTCTTGTGGACAAATGATTTAGTCTCGGCTGCAGTGATGTAATTGCTCCTACTTGTCAGTTGTTAGCAGCTGTAAAGTAAATATAATCTCACCTCTTCCACTGAGTTACTCGGCAGCCCATGAAGCGAATAATACATACCCTTGCAAAATCCATTTTTACAATAATGCTATTGTATACTTCAATATTACATGGACACATCCAATAAACATGTCACTTTCTAAGAGCTTTTAACGAGCCTTTAGATATTTGTCAGCATATTATTGTTGTCTTCTCTTAATCTATTCTTGCTTCTGTCGTATTTGTTACTTATCTCAAGAGTTGCAAGACATGCCTTGATAAATTCAGACTTATCGAACCACAGCTGCTGCTACAATTCAGTGTCACACACAGATATAGTTCCCATCCGTGGAATAACATTCACTGCCCCAGCTCTATAACCTGGTATCAATTCACTGCATTAGTTGCCCTTCGCCTCATGCAAGTCCTTCTTTTTGTGTACCAACTGACTAGATTGAGGAATGAATGTTCCCCACAGCCTCTTAACAAGTGATCCATGGTAAAAAAAAAGAAAAAAAGTGAGGACATACTGTACATTTTATGCGGTGGAAATCTGCATCACAAACAACACAAACAAAACTTACCAAATCCTCTGTGGAAAGAAATATGCAGTTGTTCATACCACGGATAGTTATGCGCTAATATGTCATGCCGAAAACACACTTCACACACAATCAACCGTTAATGCCAAAGCTACAGTAAGTTCATTGTATCCAATCGGGTGTCAAGCTGACCCAATCTGAGTCTAACGGATCGCAGCGCACCACCTCTCTAGCAAGGAGAAAGTGATGCCAAGTGTCTCTTTTCCATCAGGCCTTGCCAAAGTCTCCCATTCAAGCTGGCAAAAGTCCGTTCATGGGATGAGCGCAGGATGCAGGCCGCATGGCTCACATCCTGACCCAAAAATAACAAGCACAGCAAAGACGTGGACATTTTCCTCCAAATACACAGACACATTAAGCAGGAATCAGTGTCCCTGGGTTTCTCCTACCTCAGCAATAAAAGACAAAACACAATAGAGTGAAGGTTTAATGGGACATGTGAAAAGACATTGAAATGAAGACTGACCTCCAAGCTGTACTCTTCCACCGTCCTTTTAAGCGGGTCCACGATCTGCCAGCAAATAAGGATGCACAAGTCAATTAGCAGCATCCCGCCAACGATGATCAATAGCTTCTGGTCCTTTATGATCTGAAAGGGGAAAAAAAAAAAACACAAGATACTTGTATTAGCCCAATTGCACACACCTGCTAGTGTTATGCAGTTATATTTGTGTCTGTGGAGTCTTTTCACACAACATCTCTTATTGACCACTGTAATTATGTGATTCCCATCCCATCCCAGGACCTGGAGCCCTGCTGGTTTCATTCAAACATGTAATCACAGACTGATTACAATGCATTTAGCAGCAATTAACCACCTACTAGGATAGGAAACCAGCCAAACTGCAAGTCCAAAAGATCAAGACTTGGTGCAGAATGTGATTCAGTATGTATATAGCTCAACAGGCTCAGGAACCAGTGGTGGATATTCCCTCAGTACTATGCCACTATGTACTAGAATGTGTTACCTTTTGGACATAGAATGTGGAAAAGATTCACCAAACAAGAGCCAACGCTGTTGACCACGACAGCCCCTCTTTTTAGCCATGAACTTTAGAGTGATGAAAGCCGTGACCGGTTTGTGATCTTTATTTATAACAGTGTTTGACTGCGTGGAACAGTAGATCAAAGGAAAGGTCAAGCAACACGAGCTGGCCTGTGTTTGGGAGAGAAGCGCATCGCCCAGATGCAGCGCAGTGGTCCCACACAGGTCTCCATCCGCCAGCGGGCTCAGCATGAAATGCATGAGGGGGGTTGTTTTTTGATCTGGTGTCTTTTGAAGGTGTTGAAATGAACAAATATTGGCAAAAGACAAGTGACATTTCGCGTAGAAACACTGCAATGCTTCAGAGCAGCTGGGAGAAATTGGTACTAAAAGCCAATTAAAACATATTTGTCGACAATGAGGATAAAAAATAAATAAATACCGGGATATTAAATTAAATGAGTTCTACAAAGATATGCAAGATGTCTAATATTTCAGGGAAATGTACAAAAAACTAACCATCTACTCAATATGTTACTATGCAAACAAGGTAATTACTACAGTTCTATGTTCTCTTTCCTCAGTAATATAATTTCGTTCTCCATTATGTACAGGAATCGGGGGCAAGAATTACCTTCCACACTCAACTATATGTATTCCATTTTTTTGAACTGAATTGTATCAAAGACATCCATATTGTGTAGGATTAACCAACAAGGCCACAGGAGATGTATTTCCGCTGTGATACCGTGACATCATTTAAGTTAAAAGGCTGCAGCTAAACCGCAGGGCACTGTAACAACAGTATACGTCCTTCTACTTATAAAAAAGATCCAGGAAGTGGGGTGACATGCTGTAATTTCAGGGCTTTCTCAACTGAAGGAAACGTGTGTATGTACGAAGCGATTGTCGATCGTCCAGCAATATTTCACAAAGGAGTACTCACTGAGGGTTACGGTTTGAAAGTTTGTATGTTTTTTTTGTCTGTGTCTGTGGTGTGGTGTGTGTATTTGGAACAGGAGGACATTGATTGACAGTTCACCCCCCCCCTCAACCCTCCTCCCTGCATCTCTGGCACTGAGCTCCTTAAGAAGTGAAGGAGTGGCGGCCGAGTGGAACCCCTTCCCCTTCTGATTTACAATCCGTGCAGTCCCAGAAAGAACTTGGAGGGTTGGCTGAGGGGAAGGACTCGGGAATGCAGTGGCAGCCCCTCTCTTTGAAGAAAAGAAGGCTAACACTCGTTCACAAGATACTTGTGAAGGAAGGGTCAGGGCGAAGCTAGAGAGAATAGAGATGTAACATTCTCTTAATAGATTTAATAGAATGTGGCGGCTTCAAGTGCCATTGGTTCGGAAAACAGCAGACAAACGACTGGAGATCATTCCCTGACCCCACCGCAGCATCGCAGTGGAAACTGCGATGGCTCCTCGTCCTGCAATCTGGATTCTCTTCATCCTCATATTTCTTTTGCTCTCCTTTAACAGCTTTTACACAGTGTCCAACCTACTTTCCTTGCCATTTTCTGCCAAGTTGTTTGTCTTGTCCCTTGTTCTGCCCTGCTTTGCCTTTTTCCGTCTGTCTCTCCACCCTCCCTTCTGCCAATCCCTCCAACCTCTCCGACTCTTTGATCCATCCCTCTTTGCTCTCCCTCTTCCTGCTCTCTCTCTCTCTCTCTGGCAGGCCACCCACACTTCCTCCAATATGCAAGAGGGTGAGAGAGACAAAGAGATGGGAGAGCAAAATCTATAAATACAAAAAGGCCAAGCACAGTTACAACACTCAGTGAGCTCGGCACCACTTTATATAACTAGGCCAGTGAAACAGATTTTGTCAGATGTTTAAAAAGCCATTTATATTTCTGATTCTTTTTTTTTAAATCTCACACAGAAGATTCTAAAAGCAGGTGCCAGCGGCTGAGTATTTGTTAAAAAGTAAGAGTGTGAATACAAGCACCCACACACAGTGGGTAGTGATAATCCCCCTAAATAGTACCGTCAGGTCTATATATTCGATTGAGATATTTGTGGTTGTGTGAATTTGTATCTTATCATTCAGATCTATGGGGTGATAAGAGGGGAAAAAAAGTTTACAACCAGCTTCAAAAAATGCCAATCTGAATAATGGAGCAAAAACATGTGGTGACATTGATCTTTGACTTGTGACAAGCAAACACATCTATATAGTTCAGCCTTAAGTCTGAGTGGACATGTCTGCCAAATGTGAAGAAAGTACCTTAAGGTGTTTCTGAGAAATCACATTGGGATTACGTGTACGTTCGGATACACAGATGGACGGAAAACGCAAAGACATAATGCCTCTCAGCTGTCAATGAGTGGAGCCATATGAATACTGATACTAATCTTTGAGCCATGTGTTTGATTAATTTAAACAATCAAATGATTCATTTATAATATAAATACTATACCATAAATATTTAAGGTCAGCTTTTAATAATGCCATGCATGTATATCATAATATATGTATATATATGATACTTTTCAGTACCTTCTTCTTCATCTTCACATTCTTGAAGATGGCGTGCACCCTCCAGGTCTTGGCAAACATGGCCCCAAAAGCTGTTGTGTATCCAACAATGAGGATCCATGTCCGGACCTATCAGGACAACGGGGACAAACAGTATTGTGTCATGTCTTAAACTGGTGATCAAAAGTTCTTTATAAAGACATCTGATGCGACAGCTATTTGCATTTTTCTCAAGATTTTCATTTAAAATAGCCTAGTGAAGCCTTCTAAAAATAAGAAGCTGTCAGATTAATTCTTTTGCTCCAAGTGTGGAGCTCTGGGAGAACGTCCTGGACCATCCAGGCTGTCACGCTCCTAAGAGCGTTTCATCTTAATGAGAAACAAAACGTAGACCTCTTAGTGCTTTGGCACAAAGGACACTGCTGACGTGTTTTAAAATATTAGAATTTGAATAGACTATGAATAGCAGAAGAGTGCTTCATATATATATATATGTGTTTGGAGTGTGGGTACAGGTTCACTGTGAAGTCCCCATCTGCACCACAAAAACCACAAACCCTCCACACAGCTACACTCTCTTCACCTGCCATTCACTGACATATCTAGAGAGAGCAAGAAAGCCGGGCAGGGACAGAGCTCGGAGTAAAGAAGACGGCATAAAACAATTACACCTTTCTTTCTCAAGGAGACCAGCACATATTGATTGGTGTCGAATGGATCAACCCCAGTGGTCCTCTGCAGCAGAAACTTGTCTGAAGCTGCGCTGTGGCTCTGCGGCAGAGCTCCAGGTGGGGCAGCTTGAGACGTGCTCTGCCTAACATTACGCTGGTGTGCGAGTGTCTCTGTGTCTGGAAGGTGGTATCTCAGTTGAAACTGGTTATCACTGTATTCCAAACTTTAATTAATCCGGCATCTACATAGTCACACAGTAATGCTGCCCAAGGGAAGAAACTTAATGTGCTCCATGCCAGCTACAGAGCCACAGAGAGATTCAATCCGTTTTCACTTATGGTCGGTCGCATAGTGCACATGCTTAAGGTTTCAGCAGTGTCCAGCAGTAAATCTGTTATTGTGTTATGCAAACATGAAAAGAGTTGAAGGAACCCACGGTGCAGAGGGTCTCAAACTCTTTGTCGGAGACAAAACCTCCATCCAGGCCAAACAGGAAGATAGAGGCGTAGGAGAGCATGCCTCCTAGGATGATCAGGTTGTTCATGTAGGGACTGGACATCTTGATTAGCCTTTAAGAGAGAACAGATGATTAGAAAAGAATACATTAAAATAGCATAAAAAAGTGAAAGAGCCTAATCAAGAGTGATACTTGAGAGTAAAACAGTTTGATATTCAGTAGTGATATTAAATCAGTTGAAGGTTTATAATCATTCTCAAGCTTCAGTATTCTATTCAATTCAATTCCCTACGATTTCTTTTAATAATTCCTTCTTTTAACTTGACACCAACCATTTACTTTTCCGCTGCACCATAAGTTTATGAATTTCAACTTTACAAGCAGGCCTTCGTCTGACCTCTCACTCCATCCTCATGCTTAATGCTGACCTGTGGTTGCGATTCTTGATGTTGAAGAACAGGAAGGCCCCTCCCATGAGCATGCCCAGGATGGTGATGGTGGACAGGATGCTGTACAGGGGTACGTTGATGTGGCGCCGCTGCAGACGCACAAACGTACGATCCTTGGGAGGCTCCAGACCTTTTAAGAGGATGGAACAAGTCTTTGTTCAAGAGTAAAGAAATGTATAAAACAGGGCATTTATGTGTATTAATCATTCTCTGCCTCTTTTCACCTTGACAATCCAGGACCTGCTTCATTCAAACCACAAAATAGCAACACTGCAGCAGACATTCAGTGGCTGAAACCAAATTCCTCAGTTACCCCAGGCGATTGGAGGCATCTTAATGCACCACAGTCCGCTTCCTGCCCTTTCTTATCTTTTGCTCTATTTTTCTTCCACCAGTGTTCTAAATCGATTGCATTGGCATCGTCATGCGCATCTCCACTTACTCTGCTCAGGGATGTAGAAACAAGCATCTTAGATGGTACAGTCCTACTGTTTCTGAAGGAGGGGGAAGGCCGACAAGATCGAGGGAGGGTAAAGGGGGGAGGGATAGCGAGGGGGATTAAACAAATTATTAAGTATGCCAACACAACGTGGGTGGAGTTAAAAATGGATGGTTAAATAATTTAGCTGATGGAGGACGGTTTAGAGCGCTAAAGGAGTGGCGCGAGTCCCTACACACAGCGGTGGTAGGGTCTGAGCACGCCTCCGAGTGTATATTTGTTTTGGAAAGAGTTTGGGTTTAAGTGAGCAAGTGATTGTCGGAGGAAAGTGCAGAGCAGCTAAGCGATTGTCCTTAAACACGTATATAAACACACATCAGATGCATCAGGACATCTTTTTTGTCTTCAGTGAGCACTGAAGTCACAGACAAAATGCACTCAGACACCCACAGGGTGCTCTTTATACCTTGGAACCTTATGGAGTTGTTGATGAGATCCAGGACATCAGCAATTGCGTTGTACTCGCCCACCTTCACCTCATGGCCCTCTGTTCAAATAGAACACACACATAAACACATACTAAGTTGATTCATATGCTTCGATGGCTTGGTGGCTATTTTACTTGGAATTCTGCGAGGGTTATCTGAGAGAAATGTTACAGATATCACTGATCGTGATAGCTTTTAGCTTTGACGATTGTTCAACTTTTACACAGCTGTGTGTACAATATCGGGAGTCATTTTTAGAAGATATTAATACTTGTTGGAGATACCTTTAGAGCACTTTAAATGGTGATGATAAACGGTCGCACTAAAGACAACCTGCATTGGTCTAGTGTGCATGCACAAATCTTTCTCTGCTTATCCCCGTTATCACTGTGTAGGCCTATTGAACTCCGCAGCCGCATTGTCCTTGACAAGGAAAACGGCAGATAACATCCGTTTATGCAGCATCGCAGGCCACCGCGTTCCCCTCGTTTGATCTCCAGCACTGGCATCAAAGGGTCAGTGAATGGTGAAAATAATAGACGGAAACAGTAAATACCACGTTCTGCACGCACAATCGAGATCAGTTTATCTTAAACGCACGTCACAGGGGTCAATAACCATGTTTGCCGTGGTCCTTTGTTAGGACCTAAACAGTAGAAGGGATGGCATATCAACACTCTCCCTTTGACATGGTTAAATACTATTCTATACCATTCCTGATCTCCATCATAACCCAGGACCTCAAGTTGAAGCTCAACAACAGCTTCATCACCAAGAAGGCCAGGCAGAGGCCGTACTTCCTCATTTCTACACGTCCGTCCTCTTTCCGCTCGCTCCTACATCGGCGTCTGGTACGCGGTGGCCAAAGCCAAGGGCGAGGCCTGCCGAGACGGGGTCATGGCTGCAATGTCTGTGTCCTCTTAAGTTTGTTGTTGCTTGTAAATCATAGCATTTATCTCCAAGCTCCAGATATCCAAACCTTTTACCCACAGACACAAAGTTGTATCATTGAAACTCTCGTCTTCTGACAGAACCACAAATGGCATGTTTCCTTATCTACCAGTCCATTGATTTAAAATCTGTACCCAGAGGGACTGCTGCTGTGTTCCGAGACTTCTGGTAGCGAGGTATCTCTTATCCTCATGAGAGGCAGTGGGAGTAAGAGCCATTGAGGCCCCGGAATAAGAACGGCTGACAGGGGTAAGTGGAGGATCAGAGTCTGAGGACAGATGATAGGGTCACGTTGAGGATCACTGCCTTCTAAAATATTCAAGCTCGGGCTGTCCCTCTTCTCCTCTCCAACCCGCCCAGGCTCTTGGGTGTGTCAAAAGGGTGACAGATTCCTGACCCTTAACAAGTGAGGAGGAAGTGATGCAGTGAAGGTTAAGGAGGGACAGAGGAGGTGTAATAAAGCTTTGGGACGAAAGCTTTGGTGACAGATACATGTTGCACAGGGGTTCGGTTTGAATTTGTTTGTGGAAGGTGTGCATTGGAGACACAGTGAAGAGCCGTTTCAGGGAAGAGAGAGACATAGAGAAGGGAAAGATGCAAATCTGTATCACAAATCAAAGTCAATAAATCGAAATCACGAAGAAGCTGTATATATATATATATATATATATATATATATATATATATATATATATATATATATATATATAGTGCCCTAATGCCGCCGTAATTTAGACATGATACTTTTCTTGTTTATGCAAAGCTGGCAAACCCTTGAGACGGATAAGCCATCACCAGTCAGGCAAATAGGTTAACCTCTCACTCAATCACACAATCATGTCTGCAAGCATTACGGAAAAGGACCTGTTTGACAGATAAGACATCAAACAATCCAAGAGCCACATCACTGATGCCAACAGACACAAACACACACGCACACACTGAGTACACTAATACACAAGCTTTCAAGCATCAACATACCTTTCTAAAACATCCTATTAAATTAGCAGCAGCAATGAATACGGACGTTTTTGATCCCCCAAAGTTTAAGAGTTTTAGCATGATTATTTTGTATATAGTTACATTAAATTGCATATTCATGTTTTTTTTAATGTGGATGACAATATTATGCTCTGTTTATTTTTGACCATACATTCTAATGAATACTAATGATTACAGAAAAAAAATTGTTTACTGATTACTGACTTTGTCTTGGTTGAATATAAAACATTAGCTATAAAATAGCTATAAACCAATTTGTCTCCTATTTCATCAAACCCCAGTGAGCCTTGTAACAGTATCAGCAACTACTGTGCAAACACCAATGGAGTCATGCACACCAGCATGTTCACAAGCACTCGCTTTCTGCACGCACACTCTCCCTCACACACTCACACACACACACGCACGCACACATAGTGTGACGTATGCAGCCAGAGGGATCAAGCCCCTCTGCACTGAGGAAGATAAGATGGTTAGGCAGAGAGGACTGAACAGCACCACGCAGTGTGCTACATACAGTCAGGGGAGGCTGGGAGCAGGGAATCCCCCGCATCAAGATGCAATCTCTTGGTTATTCTCCCACTCAGCAGGCCCTACTGGCTGAAAAATAACCTCAGGGTGATACTGTGAGGAAAGAGACTCCATTTTATTTACAAGCCTTCACAGTCCAGACATTGTGTCGCCGTGGAGGAGATCAAGCACAGTGAAGCGCCGTGGGCCTTACGCTTTCAAATCTTAGATTTACCTAACCTGCCCCCACACAGACACGGAGTGTAGGGCAACTCCTTACATGAAGACTCGTGGGGATGATTTTATTCACAAGAAAAGGTCTAAAACAGTTTTTTATTTTTCAACTCGCGACCTCTTTAGAAAAACAACAATGAGATGAATGTGAGTACAAATCCTTCAACGTAAAAACTGAAATTATTCAGCCTCCCTTTCCTGTGTTTACTGTATGACTCTTTTCCTAAGCTGTTTTGGTCAGGATCCATTATCGTGGCAGCCATCTGGCTTTCAAAAAGAATTGTGCTAACCCACATTTCTGAAACAATTGCAGGTGTTCTTGAACACAGATGTGCAGTGGCTAGAATTAAACAAATTGTAGAACTAATTCTAATTCCAACAAGTGGAGTCTCATGAGCAGGAATAGAAGGCTGCAGGTTTTATGTTTGAAACGATTGGGGTTTTTTTTTACAAGCCAAAAGTAAAGGATGTAAACAATATACACAAAACACTATGCAAAACCAGAACAGAAAATCAAGACAGTTTAATCTGGGTATTATCTGTGTCACTCATACCTTGAAACTGGTTAAATTTGATTGTGCCCATCCTCTCACCGTTCCGAAACATGACTTGGCCCTAAAAAGAAAAATCAAAAGCACATTAAACATCGCAAACGCATTTCCTTTAACTTCAAATAGATTTATATAATACATACTTGAAAATAGCATTTTGTTCTGCTAAAGGAGATGCAGCGTAAGGTAATTTTAGTGGGCACAGTGCCGGCCTGAGTCTTGGCTCCTGTCCACACTGCATCCCATTTGACTACAAGCTGCATAAATGGGTTGACGTGGCGAAGGGGTAGACAGGGTGTACCGGGAACCGCTAGGTTGGTGGTTCAAGCCCCGGGCTGCTCCATGTCCCATGTTAAAGTGTCCCTGAGCAAGACACCTAACCCGTAATTGCTCCCTGGGCAAAATGGTAAAATCCATGGGTTAAAAACGCAATGTAAGTCGCTTTGGATAAAAGTGTCAGCTCAATGACCTGTAATGTTCAGAATTATCTTTGAGCAAATTTGTTTGCTAATATCTTTAAAACAGTAAGGCTGCTTGATTCAACTTTACTCACATGCAGCAGCATTGGTACATGTTCAGAAAGTCTTTACAGAAAAAAGTGTAGTAGTCGATGAATGTTGGGAGGTATTTATTCTATATTCTTTTTGGCAATATTAACCTCTCCCCAAAAAGATGTTTTTCAGTCCGACGACAACCCTGTGGGAAAACAAAACAATTGGACGTCTTTGATTCAAACTCCACAGGAACCAGACAGCAATTTCAAGTCAGGCAGCGTCTGTCAAACCCAGACAAGGTAGACAAAAGCAGATTGACTTTGTTGCAATAACCTAAGACGTATTCAAATCAATTTGGCTTCGGTCGCTTTATCTCTCACATGTATTCTCAATCTTCCTCTCTCTTGTTCTATTTTCTCCTTCCCCTTCTGTCTCGCCCTCTTCATCCTCGAAGACTGCTCAATTAATTCAGCCAACCAGCTGCTAACAGAGCCGCCTTACTAGACATTTAACTGGGTTCACATGTTACTGACTAACTAACTGAACAGGTGAGGGTGGAGACTGGGATCGACCGGCATGCAGCCCGATTGATAGATACAGAGTACCAGTCAAATGTTTGAACACATTTCCTCATTCAATTCAATGAAAAAGTGAGTGCAAACCTTTGACAGGTACTGTAAATATAAATATATGTGGTGATGGAGCATTTGCATTAGCTGATTAAAAGGCAGCTGAGGGGGGAATGTGGGGAAAAAAGCTGGAGAGCCTATTTGGCCTCAAAAAGATGGCAGGCTTTGAAGTAGCAGGATCCCACCGCTCTGTTTGAATCCCAGTCTTTGTGTGTCATCTTTGATGTCAATGTGCATGCATGCAATATGTTGTCACATTATGCTCATTGGGATGCATGTGGCCCCATCCCTGAAGATGCATTTGTGTGAGCAGAACAAGCTACTTCTGAGACACAGGGCCTCCGGCGCTGCCTTCTTGCAACAGATCCCCTAATAACAGTTTCACACCCCATGTCAATCTGACTAGTCAACCCTAATGAGTTCCCTTCATCACACCCCCGTTTACTACGGTGTTATGAAATAATGCCTGTAGCGTAAGTAGGGCAGTGCACCTTCAATCAAAGGAATGAAAACGGGGGAACTTGACTTTAACCTGTGATGACTGGTACTGTATCAAAGTTTCTACTTGTTAGCTTTATAATCATGCTTTGAATTAGCACTGCCACAATCATTGCCCTTCACAAACACAAACCGTATTCAACCTGTGTGTAATTATTGCAGTTCTTTCAAGCGTATACACGGTTAAGAGAACATGCAAAGTATATCAAACCTATGCGGAGGAAGTTGCTCTTATATTCTTAATTTCAAATAAATCTCTGTGCAACTCAGATTAAATCAACCTCCTTTGGCCAGTATTCAAAGGAGCTGCTTTAAAGCCCTCTTTCTGCAAGGCAGTATGCTCCTCTGCAGCTTCCTTAGCGGAGTGTATTGACCCGTGTCTACTAGTCAAAGGATGTTCAGACCTCAGTCACAATGTCGGCTGATGGAGCAAGCACTATGTCTATGCGGGCTTGTAGGCATGTGTGTGTGTGTTTGAATGCGTCTCTCTGAGGTGAGGCCGTAGCGGCGGCCAGGTAGGACTTTGGCTGAGGAGATGAGAATGTCAGCGACAGGTGTGCCAAGGTCAATTGAACTGTCAGTCTGTGGGCTGCAGGTGTGACATCTCTTTTAGGCGTTCAGGGATCAGAAACCCTGCTAATGTGAATGTAATGGTAATGCACACACGTACACACCCATTAATAGGGAAGAACAGGTGCATGTAACAATCCCAATTTACTGTGTCTCTTCCCATCAGCCTTCAAGGGTAAATCCCAGTTCCAAAAGCTACCCTCTCTGTGCTCTGAAAGTCTCCCCCAACTAATGTCGGCTCTTTTTTCACTAGAGCCCAGATCAATACCGTGGAGCCCTCAGTGATCACTCCCCTGCTGATACTGCTGCTGAAAGGATCAGTGCAGAATAGACATGGTTTGCTCCCATGAGACGTGTGCGTTTACACAAACCCACAGCGGAAAATCGTGACATCAGGAAAGACACAAGGCTCATGTCAAGGTATGATCCCATATCACCAAGCAAGCACACACACATTTAAACCAAGGGTATTTATTCTAATGGAAACCCGGTAGGAGTCATTGCAATTCACGAGCCAACCAGGGAGGTTGTGTAATAGCCCGTTTTAAAATCTGAATACCAAAATAGCATAAAGGATGGTTGCATTGTGGAAGGGAAATTGCTACGTCTATCATGCGTGGGTACAAAGTGTGTGCTATATGCAGGGAACACTTCATCTGATTTCATAAATCAGATAAAAGAACAGCTTTCACAGTCAACACATCTTTGGGTTCAAAGGTGTACTTAATTATGTTGCAATGCAGCTGTATTTCAACCACGTATTGTTTACTATCTCCTCTGAGTTCTTGTTCCAATTATTTTTCAAACCAATTAGGTATAAAGCAGGATTAAAACGGAATTGTGGTTTTCAAAAAATAATTACGCCTATTAGGAGAATTTTTGCTTTTTTGGGACGTCAGCAAAACAAAACCGATTAAATTACTACCGTGTCCATTACTTCTTTTTGTTGTGCAAAAGTAGTCTCTCAAAATCAACTGATTAATTTCCCTCAACACGTATGTCATCACTTCATCATAACATAGCGGCAGCGAGCCGCCCGCTCATTCACACAGTGGGACATCAATGAAGGCTGCCACGGGTCCAAAGTAAACCAAGGTAGAGTTCCTGCTGAGTTCACACTCACATTAGAAATCTGAATACAGGACTTTTACCTGTAGGTTAGTATTCATACGCTCTAGTATCATTAGTCATTTTACTCAGGTAAAGGACCTTTTCCACTACTGATGGAAACATTTGTTGAATCAATATTAATATCAACGACTCGAGAGAACAACATTGCTCGTATGTCCAAACAACCTGACGGGACTTCATTATCTATTTGTGTGATGCCTGTGAAACGTGGGGAAATATACAACGGCTTTGCATCCCGGAGACTCTGAAGACAGACTCAATGTCAGCCGGGTCCTGATCAGCAGCTCTGAGTAGCTCTGTGCCGATAGAGGAGAGAGCGAAGGCGCGCCGAATGTTGAGAGGATTTGATAGAGTGCTGGAACACACGTACACCTACAAGGACATTATCATAATAAAACAAGTGTGTAACTGACTTTCTCAGAGCTATTTTCGCTTTCTTTCTTTTCATAAGCTCTGTTTAAAACTACAATGTATCTGTATTTCCATTATATTATCTTTTGTCTCTTACGTTCCAGGCTCACTTCAGTCTCAGTGGTTAATACTCCAGTACAGCCAATCTGCAACTTCTTTGGTTATTTATTTGTAACCACGCTTTCACCTTAACAGATCAGTAATTAATGGCTGTGTGTTTCTTGTCATATATTACATACATTACATATACATTACATATAGCAAAAACATTTGTCCTGCGTACACATGTAAATGTCTTTTAAAGGAGTGTTTAGACAGTATCCTTTTGGTTCCACAAGTAAGCGTGTGATAAGAGAAACCCATTTATACACCAAATATATCCGATTGTGCCATATTTATTACATAATCCATATCCTTCAAAAAAAAGCAATTGGCTGCTTTACTTACTGTAACACCAAAGAAGTTGGTTTCATTCATGACGTCCAGCACCATTTTCCCCACTTCGCGGTCATCCACAGTGAAGTTATGGAAGGTGTTCTGCCGATGTTTTACCCGGAGCAGCTCCATCACGCGAGTTAAGGTTTTAGCGATGACCCAGATCCCATCGTAGGCAAAGCCGTGAAACTTGCTGGCCTCCACACCTTTCTGCTGAAGCTCTCGGCTGTACTCCCGCTCGTAGTCCTTAGGGGTCTGACAGAGTGGTAAAAAAGTTAATAAAGAGAGAAAATGGGCTTAAAAAGGTTATTCATTTTAGATGGTTTAAACACACTATTATTGGTGTTACTTTCGGTTTACTTCTGGAAGTAGACCGGAAGTAAACAAAGGGTACGTTAACTTAAACGTTAAAATATGTTGCATTAAAAAAATTGTTGCATTAATCTCGACCACATTAATCGCATAGATAATAGGGATCAATTTTCAGTACTTTTCCAGGACATTTTTAGCTGGTTTGACGGATTAAAATATAAAAGTTTTACTTTTCAAGCCATATTATACTTCATTTTACATTAAAAAGCTATGCTTTCAAGAGACACTAACGTAATAATAATTAACTAAATATGTGCCGAATTCAGCTTGTGTTTTATTGTCATTGTTCCAGCTTTCCATTCATAATAATTCTACTCCAAAGTGTCTTTTTGTGGAGATGGTACGCTTATATGTTCATACACAGGAAGAGCTCCGTGTAGGTGATTCACCTTCCTTGTGCTGTATTTTCATTTTCACTCATTTTACTTAAACTGATTTAACACTTAATGGCACATCGAATTACTCCACACGACTGAAGTATAACCGGGGGCATCACTCACCCTGCCAGAGATGCCCTTGATCTGTCGAGCGCTGAGCGGCTCAAAGTCCACACTGATGTATCCCTCCATGGCTGTGAGCAGCTTCTTGGTGGTGCAGTTGGTACTGTTGGCCTGCTCCCACCAGTTGCCCTGGTACCAGCCGGGGATAATCCACTGGTATTTACTGCCAAACATGTTAAGATTGTACGCCTGGGAAGGTGCAGGAAAAGCAATGTAAGTTTAGGCGATATAACAGCAGGAGATACTGTACAATAAATGCAGATTAACGTTTGTGTGATCATTCTTACTTTACGTGACCCCAATCACTGAAACAAATGTATAACAAACAAAAAGATACCTGGCAGCTTTCTCTCACAACTGTACGTGGGCTAAGGACTTACGCAGCAGAAGACTTTGGATGCCAGGTTCTCGTCAAACTGCCCGATGATGATTCTAACATCGTTGTCCTGAAAGAAGATTTGAATGGAAAATATGAAAAATATGACATGAATGTCAAGCATATTATTGAAAATGGCTTGTTTCTATAATCTTGATATTACCGTTTCCCCGTCACACTACATTACACTCCGTGCATGCTTTTTATTATGACTTTGTATCATCGGGGCTTTATAGACATGTTAGCATTTATATCAATTGAAGTTGTCTGCTTGTTCCCCCTGGAGCTGCTCATTCAGGGCAACTGCACCATCAATACAGCTGCTAAGATGCTACGGCAATATCAAGCCGCAAAACTCCGATCTTCAACAACAGAGACACAACAGAGCGGCTTCCTTTGCCAACGAGCACAGATGTACATTGTGACCCATTAAGTGAAACAATATCTGATCATTCAGATTAACAGGTTGGACTTTTTAATGTTCAGAAAAAATGGTCATTCTGTGGGAGGGCCAAAGTAATTTAGTGTGCACATGCATGTGTATAGTACTGTGCAAACACAAGCACATGCATGTACACACACCCACACACTCACCCAAGCAGATGTTGAGGAAGTACAACATTGACCCAAATCGAATACAATAATACTGACACAGGTTTGATGAATCTATGTTCAACAAAGCTAGAGGTGATAAATGTCTATCATAAGGGGAATGTGCTATTTATTTAAAATAACCGTACAACATTTCCTTTTAGTGGAAATGTCGACTTGAAGCTGGGTAGTTTTGAAACTTAATTCTAAAATAGATCACTATGAAAAGCTGTTTGTAAAAAAACATTCATTTCAAAAATGAATGTGAACGCAGCTTTTTTTTAAAACAACTTTTAATAAAAACACCAGCTGTGTTTTCAATGAACCTTCTGTGGTGTTCTGCCTTCATTCTGGATAATGAGAAACCATTATGAATTACAGGTCATGAAGTCATCTTCCCTCAGGACATCCAACCACATGACATGTATTCACAAATGAGAAGGGACAACCAATTGCCGACATTCCTCGAGGCGATTACACACACACACCCAACAGCCAAAACATTTCAGGGATTATAAATGGATAGTAATATATTTAGAAATCAGAAAGATTAATTAAATATATAATGATTGATAACCATCTGTCTGTTCGTCTGATGGATACAAATGTACCTACCTGGCCTTTTTTTATCACAAAATGATGATATAGATTCTAGCATTGCAGATGCACACGCACACACACACACACACACACACACACACACACACACACACTAAAGAGCACAACAACTCAGAAAGCCCTGCAGTTCAATCAGAAGGCTCCTTTGGTGGTTTCTCATTAACCCAGAAAGCATTCTGGGACATTTAAAGTGGTCTTTTGTAAGGAGCCCTAAGTGTTGTTGTACTTTGAGTGTGTCTGAGTCTGTGTGTGTGTGTGTGTGTGTATGCGTGTGTGTGAAGTACAAGGGGCCTCTCAAAAGCATTGTCCTACACTGGAGGAAAGGCACTTAACCCAAATGACTCCAGCCACGGCCTACAACCAAAGCATCAGTATAAATTCTGCCCTTCCTGGGTAAAACATGAAAAGACTGGGTTTGGTGGGCAAGGGAATGAGTTGTTTGAGTGTGTTGTGTTGTGTTTGTCAATGACAGATGGACTTGTTCACTACAGGTCTCCAAAGCACCCTCGTTGCTTCAGCATTTTTATAACTATAACAATAATTGCTTTCAAAGAGGGTAGTGTTAAGTCTCCCCTGCTTTATCCGTGACAGTTATTTTTATCTTTATTATATTGATTTATATGTGATAATGGTTTTAGTAATACGGTTTCTCATAACCCGATCAGGCACTGTTGAGGGATATTAAGCATGCACACACACAGAGACACACACCTACTAATGACGGCCGTTCTCAGGGATTTCCCAGACGTGCAATTTGTCGCTACTTCCCCACTAAACCTAAACTATCTCCCTATATCTGTTTGTGATGATTTCTGTGAAGGTGTGTCTGATTGTTAATTGATCCTAAAGGAGCAATAAATATAACCATAACAATAATTGTTGCTATACCAGCTTGTGTCCATTAACAAGATCATATGAAATTGACAAATATCTGTGCAAATCACGTGTCTGGAGCCGGAAAATAACAATTCTATAATAAAAAAAAAGTTTTTTAATTATTTTATTTTTCATTAGGTTATAGAGGTAATGGGCATATGGATGTTTACACAACCGAAAATCCATCCACAGCTCAAAGGGGAAAACAATTATACAATTGTAAATAGCTGCTTCTCAAATAATAATATATAATATTCACTAAAAGAGAAGTTCAAGTTTTACATATGAACATTTTTAAGTTATACATGTATGGAGGCTCCTTTTTCATGCAAAAAGAGCTTCATTACTGAGGCAAAACATGTTTAAAAAGAAATGCGCTACGTCATATCTGTGGGGTAGCAATTCTGAATGCATGATGAATAATTTAATCATTATAAATAATAAAGTGGGTTTGACTTAATTTAGATTTCAGGACATTTCTTCTCACGCGGTCCTCCGTTGAATGCAAGTTCCCTTAACTGACCCGCAGTCACAAATTTGTTGAAAAGTCCTGGTCTGTCAAATGTATGCTAGCACTGTTGCTTTAATGTGTTGCCACACAGTCCAGTAACAGGAGAGAGGAAAAGACAAAGATGAAAAGGAAGAAAGCGACTGAGGACTGTTGAAGGCAGCTTGGATGCCTCGCAGCATTAAATGCCTGTCTGCTTTTTGAATATTCCAGCTGGATCACAGATGTAAGTGCTCTATTTGTGGATCACACAGTGACGCCACGGCCCTCTCGTCCCCCCCCACCCCTCACACACACACACACACACACACACACACACACACACACACACACACACACACACACACACACACACACACACACACACACACACACACACACAGTCGCACTTCCACAGTCAGCCAACAGAAAACAAAAAAACAGACCAGTCTTTCACAACGGAATCTGTGTCACCGTCTACCTCATCATGCTACGTAGCTGCCGGGGGAGACAGAAAACCGCTATTGCGAGTTCGCAATGTCAGAGTTGCCTCCGCCCACCCAAATCCAAGCGCTGTGAAAGGCTTTGAATATTTGGAGTTGATCAAGGAAGGACGGTGTCAGCTTGAAATGTCAGCCCTCAACATTTAGAGTTACACATATATTTTAGGACAGACAGCTTATCTTGACGTTCCTTTTCTCTGCCTGTGTCTTATCATGTCTCTGTTGGATTTCTTTGAACCTTCTCCATGCGCACGTCATATACACCATGTCCATGTTTAACATATCAATATTTGCCCGATAAAGGTCTCTCTTCTTTCTTTCTTTCGTTTATGCAAATAAAAAAGTGACCATTAATCATTCCAATTTTTATTAATTCTATAATTCAATTGAATTTTTCTGGAAGGATCACTTACCTTGAGCTTCTTGACATTGACGCAAGGGTCATTGGAAAAACTTTCTGTATCTGCAATCTGAATATCTGCTTTCTCCAGCTCATTAGTTAGATCATTCCTCACCTGAGAGAGAGAGAGAGAGAGAGAAAAAGAGTCAATGACCTACAATGTAATGTGTTCATCGCTCTGCCTTCATGGGTGAAGCCCCCCAGGAAACGTCCTGCCTGTCGGCTCAAAAGAACCAGCTAGAACCAACTGTCCTACACGTTCCTTGTCACACGTATTGACCAAATGTTTATCGCATAAGAAACAAGCCATTCAACATTTTGAGTTAAGCAGGTAAAATTTGATGTTTGGGGCCAGTTAATACAGAAGAGTATCTTAACATCGCAGCATGACAGAGACATATTAGCTACCAAAAACCATCAAAGCCGCCATCCTCAAAAATGCCTTTTGTTCTATTTGTTACATTCACAATATCCAATGTGCATTTGTCAAAGTAATACACGTTTTTTGTTTTTTTCAGAAAGCATTATATCTTAAAAAAGTTTTTAACAACCATTGATATATAAAAGATATACTGCACAGTACTTTAAACGTATCTGCAATATATCTTTTGCTGCTGCGCATCTGCTTTGATGTATCGGTTCAATGAAAAGTGGGAAATGGGATCAGAGAAAGAGGAGAATGGAGCCGGTACCACACAGTGATGGCCAGCTTGAGGTGATTTATCAAACTGCCTCTCATCCTGAATTCATCCCTCTGACGTCCCTCCTTGAACTGCAGTGATAGGAAAGGCCACAGATATTTGTACTTTGCCCTATTAGGAAAAGCAAAATTGTAACTGATAACATTAATGATGTCTATCTTTTATTTAGGTGATCTAGCAAGGCAAACATGGGGTCACCTACGTGGAAAGCAGCCATTCTAAATGTTACACCTGCCACAATGTCTGCTGTGTAAACTGAAGTGTACACGCTGAGGATTACTGATGGCATCTAGTCTTTCTTTGGCCTTTTGGTCTGATGTCCTGCAGCCATCGGCCCCTTCGCCTCCGTCTGAGAGTTTGTCATTAGGGGCCGCGATGAGACATCAGAGAGGGTGTGCGCTCAAACGAGCACAGACAACATGTAAGAGTTGAAGGCCCTGAGTGCAGTACATTTGTCTGTAATTGTGCACCTGGGCCATTAGTTTTATCCATATTAACGCTTCCTCTGTTGTTTATAATACGTTTTGGTGCTATGGCAGTGAATGAGATATACACATACATAGAAACACTGTTCCTTGAGTGACACTTCATCCCTGTTTGGTTTAAAATGGGTTTGTAGTTTCCTCATTGAAAGACTGAATTTATGCTATTTATAATGAGGTTGTCATCCCAGAACAATGGAAAAGCAACTCCCATGGAAACTTCTCAAACGATTCCCTCAGCATAAACTTCCACAAGTTTCAAAGACGGATGGAGGGCAACGCCGTGACTGCAAAATACATGTTTTCATTTAGCTATGACACTGTGGACGTATGTAAGTGGATAATACATTTTCTATAGACACCATTTTATTCGGATTTGTGCTGGTAAAGGTTAGGATTATTTTTATCAATCGTAGACTCCAGTTGAACAAGGCCTTATTTTCTATTAGAAAGGCAACTAAAAGCTTCAATATTCTAGGCGCACATGGTTTGTGTTTCATATTTAAAAGATGGATTTCAGGTGAACGTGTTTACAGTAGTAATCATTCCCAATTATAATAACTGGAATCATTACCATTAAAACCACCACCACTTTCTTCTGTTAATCTTAAAATGACTCATTACAACCAATTCATGTAATACAGATGGCTGCAACCAAATCAATGAAATTGAACCACAACTTTTTTTTTTTCTCATGTCCCTAAATGTCTGCTGGCACAATTGCCCACTCCATTCGCTCTGTACATCACTCACTGTAGTGCTCGCTGAGCTGAAACAAAAGGAAAGGGGCTCGAGGGCATCAATGCAACCAGGTTTTCCTCTTGAGGAACATTGGCGTGGAGGTCTGAACAAGCTACGCAGTCCCGTTGCACGGAGCGCTGATCTAAAAAGCCGGGCTGCCACAATGCCAGCAGCAGGTTAGAGCGGTGTTTGAGGTGTGTTGGAGCGAGCATACAGGTGAATGGAATAACAACCGGCAAATACAGTGGATACGAGAAAGGACATTCTGGCACAGAGACACACAAACATGCACAACATCCCAGAGGCCGGCGACACAAAGTGATTCACGTCCTATGAAAAAAGAGCATTTGTCGCAAGAGGGTTTTAGTGGTGTGGTTTGTTTTTCACAATTCTGCCACTGACGCAGAAAAATACAAATGCATCTGCAGTCTTGTGGGGTCAGGGTGTTGGGTAGAGCGAGGGGGGGTGGGCGTTAAAGGGAAAAAAGGGAGCAGCTCTCCTGCATAACATAACAAAAACACCCTCGATCGGCTGGGCAGCCTGGGAATCCCCTGCAGAAAATACTAAGAAGTAATCCTACTGCACCTCAGGGAAGACGTGCACGCAAAATAGGAAAGTATTTATGATGGACAAAATGACAGATGCATTTAGATTTGTACATCAACACATTTTTGTGACTTTAGTTATTTGCTGATTTGTTTTAAATTTGCAAACACACATGTCACCACATAAGTAAGGACAGATTGTTAGGATAAAGGTGAAGGTGAGCCTGTTAATCTGTCTGTGGATATGAAAGTTTCATCCCACATTTCCAGTGCCTCTGGAGGCTGCCTTCCATTCCACTGATTAAAAAAAACAGTCAGACTTATCAATTGACACTTGATACAAATAAGAGATCTGAATTTCTGCTCGATCAAATTTCAAAATAGCTGCTGAATAATTTTCTCTTGATGAACCAACTGTTTCACCTTCAATATTCTGTAACAGAAGTCGGTGTGCTGACAAAAACACCACATTAGCAATGACCTCCTGAGCTTTACATTTGCATCCAAAACGAACACACTTGCCCCAAAACCAACAATCCCTCGCAACAACCAGACAGAATAAAGTGCGAGCTTTGATGATTCAGATGGTACCAGACAAGCACACTGCTGTGGTCTCACCTCGGATAATTAACAAATTGTTCCAGGCATGAGCGTGTATGTCTTTGCAGTGACGGGTGTGACGGCATGCGTGTGTGTTTGGTAGTGTCACACATAACAAGTGTTGGCAAATGCTTCTTATCATCACGTCTGTGAGGTTTATCATGTAGATGTACTGAAAAGAGATAAAAGGATTTTTTTCAGCATTACATGGTTATTTCTAACGAACAGCAGCGGATGGCTGCAGGAAGGAACCGCGTAATGCACGAACCAGAGAAACCGCCAAGCAATTTTTTTAGATTGTAGGCAAGATGGGGATGCTGTGAAAGGGACCGCAGAGAGAGCGGTAACCGATGGAGTAACTTTTCCTGGATTTATCAGTGGGCGGTGTATAATTAATCAGTGGAGCTCAGAGGGTTCCAGGCAGAGGACAGAGTCCTAATCCTGTTCTCAGGTCTGTCATCTGACTGGCTGATGATGGCCTGGAAATCCCAATAATGTTGATTACTGTGTACATTAAATTAAATTAAACAGTGTCTAACAATAGAAGTGAAGAGCTAGCTTCAGTTTACAGGTTTCTGTCCCAGATGACACCACACGGTATATATATGTGTGTGTGTGTGTGTGTGTGTGTGTGTGAGAGAGATGTGCATGGCCTTACAAAATCCCTCACAAGCGTTACATAACATTAACCTATTCTCCATCCTTAACAGCACATCTGATTCATCTTTCTTCTCCCTCTTAGTAGTTTATTTTTAGTCAGAATCATTTCAAGTTTGAGTAATAATTTGCCACAAAACACACATTGTACATTTTACGCAACAAGGCGCAAAATGTAGCACAACCCGTAGAGCCACACTAGACACATTTGTGGAGAATATATCAAATTGAAAAAAACACAATAATTTTTTAATGGAACTATGCAATCTGTAGAAGAAGGCTACCAGATCATAATGCATTCTATTGTCATTATTATTTTTAATTTGTTAGTATCAGAACAACATTGAGCATTTTGGAACAACCAGTTGTCTATTTAAATCCCACAATGATTCCCGAATGCACCAAAAAGTGACGCGCTCTAAACTTGACAGAGGATTGTACGAGTCCTGAAGTACGGGAGCGATGCTTGCATATTTGTAAATCAGGATTAGAGGCCAATCTTGTGGCAGGTTGATTGAATCGGGTCGCCCGTCTCCCTCCAGTCCTAAGCCCCTCGGCGCGTTTCAGGAGGGGAGCGATAAAGGGATTTGGGCTCTCAGTGAGACTTCTTATACACGCCCCCCGCCCCCCCCCGACCCCCCCCGACCCAGCCCTCCAGTTGCTGAGCAGATTGTTTTCAACCGAGGCCTTGTGGCAGGAGCTCCCAATGTGTTTCTCATATTCATGCTTTCAACAACTGAGATTTAATTAAGTGAAATGTTTAGTAGTGTGCCACACTACCAATGTCAATGTTTCGCTAATGTTCAACCACAAACATGTTTGTCTTACTTATTTACTATCCATTTCAATGCAAAAGGCCGTATGATAGATTAAAGGACCTTTTCTTTGAGTGTAAATGTGTTCTCTAAAATCTTGAGCTGAAATATGGATTCTCACAACTTAAAAATATTTCTGCTATTTTTTAAATTGACCTCAGATCGAACAGTGGCACGAAGAAGTTTCCACAGAATACTCCTCAGAAAGGTACAGTAACTAAGGGATCCTTTCTGTCTATTCAACAGGAGGGGGACATTAAATTACTCACAGATGGAATTTGATGAATGAATCAACGAGCAAAATCAGGTACACATTTATTTCTATTACAAAATATACAATGTACAACATCTGCTCCCATATTGTCTATATGTTTTGATAAAAAATATTTTTTACTGCTGTGTTATTGCTGAAGAACGCACCGTTAGATATTTGCATGGCTGCTGGCCAGTGTGGGGTTTTACAATTTTATGAACACAGAATTTACTCACAATCAAGAAATATGAAGCGAGAAAGTGATACAGTTCACTCATCCCCTCCTATGATTTAGCCCACTAGTACTGTGCAACAATCCCTCACGTAAACTGTACTACTTCCATAATTGCCTTTTCTTTATTTGTTAAATTCGTTCATTTATCTTTGCGGTTCCTGCAAGACATGATCCTTGTAGTTAATGACAATCTTAATCCCGGTTACGTCATTTTCATTACTGTCCCACACCAAATGAATAAACCAAAAGCTTTTGTTGCTGTTGTAGGACATGAAATAGGATCATCCAATTGTTTGAATTCACCAGAATGAAGTAATTGGATGAGCTACCGACATTTCACACAACGCTTCCTGCACGAAACTCTTTGTGCATCACCAAAGTCTTCCAGCTGGACACCCGTGAGTACTAACAAAAGCCATGCAGGTCCTTAAATTTAGCAATGATAGTTTTGGAGGACTGGAGGCCTCAGGCTCTCAGTTTTGGTGACTTACAAATTTGAAAGCTTGATTTAGCAACCGTTGGAACTAGTGCTGCTCGCTATTTTTATTCAGAAAGAGTGGGCCAAAGTATGCTTAGATTACAAATCCTATCGTAACATCGATTAAATGCATGCAATTACAGCATTTTTGGTCTTTTTGAACAATATATTATTTCACTGAAAGGAATTACCCAAATAGATTATTTTTCCATCACCCACAATGACAGAAAACCTCAAAATGTAATAATTAAACTACTGATACAGTTGCACCTTATTTCCTTATGTTCAGAAACCTGAGGCTGCAGACCTTTCAGCTGGTGAGGAATCTAAAAACTGACCACACTTACGCAATACATCAAAAGTGTCTCTCATCACCCGAGCACGCTCACCATATTATAGCAGGTTTCCGTGGCACCTCATGAAAATGTTTACGTTATCAAAATGCAGTTTCTTAAAAGGAAGAACACTGACCTCAGAGAACCTCTGCACATCCTGTGTGAGCGTCCCCACGCGGCTCCAGTCGTAGAAGTTGAGAAACTTCACTACCGCTGGGTTCACGGCGTTGTCTGATGGGACGGTGCGGAAGAAGTTGGGGAACTTTTTCTTATCTGCCAGAACTGGGGTTGTTGCTGCAAAGGACAGCTGCAATGACAAAATAAAGAAAACCTTGGTTAAAACCTGTGTCTGTCTAAGTTATACGAGTGATCCCAACAACAAACCCGCCAGGTCCCTTGAACTGTATTCCAGGAGTACTTCTCAAGTGCCCCCCTGCTTTGGTTAGTGTCATGGCAGGGATTAAACCATCGCGGGGCGGCTGTAATAAACACTTTTTCATTACTTTAAATGTCAGCGAACTAGCTTCTTCAAAGTGTAACTGTAAACAGATCTGTAAATATTGGGTGGAATTGATGTCCTCAGGTTTGCATGACCTTTTAAATTGGTTTTACAATGTGCCTGTGTGTGAATACCTGTTTGTTTGATTCAATATATTTTAGATTGTGAAAAAAAAGCAGCTCATATGTGATTTAGCTTTGGTCTGTGTTCTAGAAAAAAAAAGCAGCTTCAATCAGATCCCTTTCCCACACACACACACACACACACACGCGCGCGCGCAGACACAGATTTAAGATTAAGTTGTGCTGAACTTCCAACGCTGATGGCTTTTTTTTTTTTACACACAACTCATTTTCATTTGTAAACAATGCAACCTCAGCGCATTTCGCGTACATGAATTATAATGCGAGAGTGGATAGAACTTTGAAAGGAACCCTTTGAAAGTATTTCTCAAAAACATCAACACACTGAGTATGAAACAGCAAGCATAAACCCTCATTGGATGCAATTTAGTTGAAACTAAAGCTGATACTGGTCAAATTAATATTCATCAAGCAATTAATACGGCGCAAAAAAGATGAAGAAAAAAGATGAGAATGCCTTGAACCGGTGTTATTCTACAAATAAACAAAATGTGCTTGTGACAGCATCACCACGCACAGCCACACCGGTCCTTGTCTACACCTATTTATACGTCATTTCCATGCAGATCAAGTTTTGATCTCTCTCACTCTCACCTATTGAACAATATGTCATTCATTTCCTCAAGAGGCGAAAACAGCTGTAATTCATTTTTTGCAGTAAATATAAAATCAGTAAAAACAACCTGCGCAGGCCAGACTAGACAAAGACCTGTCCCTTTATTATTTATACTATATTCAGATTGAATTGCTTCATAAATAACAGTTACTGGCAGCATCACAGTATTGTGTAGAACTCTCAGAAAAAGGAACAGGCCTGATATAAAAAAGACACCGTGCTCTATTTTCCACATCCTATCTTTGGTAATATAAAAGAGAGCAATTCTAATCGGTGCGAGGTTAATTACATACTTTGTGGAGATTAAATGGAACGTATGATTCATGATTGCGATCCACACTAGGATATTAGAATTCTGGGAGCAAGAGGTACAACAGTCGATTTCCTTAACGTGTGCTAAAGCCTTGAGGGGTTCAAGCACCTCCTAACTTCAGGGAAGCCTCTACCCCTCTCTGCACATAAATCACAGTGCTGCTGGTGTAATTGTGCGCTTGTCGAAACCTGATTACCACTGAAAATGTACCGTGCGTGGTCGAAGAGGCAGTAACTGACATGGAACGACAGGTATTTGAGAACTTATCAAAGGGCATTCAAAAGTCAAACGTTTGCAGGAAGCATGAGTGACAGTCCCAGCACATGTGTGGTGTGAGATAACACGACAGCTGTGATTGTACGGTTGAATAGGATTTGCATGTATTCGGGCAGAAACGTTTTCGTTTGTCTTGATACTGTTGCCGTAGGGGCGGGAGAAAGGAAACAAATAAAAGGTCTGTTTTTTTGACACCTCAACAACCTCTTTTCCCAAAACTACAAGGCTTCACCCAATCAATGGGAAACCCTCGGTTTGGCCCTCTAATTCCACTTTTTGCGCAAAGCCACAGGGGTTTGTCTTCACACTTCCACGAGACAGGCTTTTAAAACAACACATGGATTACAGCCATCAATTAAGCAGGAAGAAAGGCCTTTATCTGGCTACCACTGCTAAAGCCGAACTCACCCACTTTCCTAAGAGGGCTTCAAGGGGTCTTTCCGGCGGTGCCTTAATCTCCGTTTAGCTAAGGCTGTTTGCTACACCCACACTGGGAGATGCTTGTTCAGCCCTGCAATAAGAGCCGGTGATCTCCTGAAACCAAATTGATTGCACCAGTCTTCTCAGGGAAGCTGTTGGAAGAGACTATGTGGTCAGAAGATGCTCCACATCCTCATCAGTTTCCCCTGCTTAAGCGTTGTAAGCGTGCCTGCCTGTTTTTGCAGCAGATTTATTTGCTTCAGGCACGGTTTTACTACCGGATAACTACAGAAAGACATGTTGGTTGAATTTAAAACGGTGAGTGCAGGTGCGGCACATATCCGTTACAGTTTGTTGAAAATACCTTATTCATGAAACATTTGATTGGTTATAGGCAAGTACAGAAATGTCAGTGATAAAACTGGAGGAAAAAAAGGAGGGTTTTATTCCTCAGATTAATTTCAACCAACATTGTTCAATCAGGATGTATAAGCAACATTAATGTATAAAACGCTGAAACTGAAATAATCACATTTTCAACACTTGATACCACTTGAAGAATTACAAACAAAACCTAATGTCTGTGCTTATATTGTGTATATACTGCAAAAACAAGAAAACGTAATATTAGAGCACTTTAAGTAGTACATGTTTCATGCCGAACTCAATCACTGGTTTTGGTAAACAATTTAATAAGGATTTTTATGAATCCAACTGTTGACTTGAGATAAATTGGTCAATTAAAAATAAGCAGAAGATGTAAAATATGTCAAAATCTAGGATAATGACAAAGATGAATCTGGTTTGTCCACTGAATCCAGGTCAGCTGATGCGAGGGGCTAAAGTTTTCTACATTAAAACTATTTCTTTTTTTTCTTCTAACATCTCATGGGAGCCGAAGTCCACAGATCAGCTTTGGCACAATTTCTGTAAAGACAGTGTATTAAGACAATATGAGAGGAAGCTCAAATCTATTATTTAAAGAACAGACCAGTCTTTATATAACTCTGCACAGCCTTTTTCAAAGGAAAATCCCCAAATAGTTCCATGATATCACACAACTGAGAGCTGTGGGCATATATAAGAGAGGGTTTTAAAGAAGGCCAGCCCAAATTAGATGGTCTTTAGTGGCAAGTTCCACACCAGCGGCAGATTTGCACATGCAGTGTGCGCGTACACACAGATCCCGCCCAGGGATACAAACTCTCTAATCACAGATGTCACAGATACCCACAACCCGAAGCTGCCTTTCTTTGCCTATACTAATTAAAACCGTGGCAAAGGGCTCAGGGAAGCTTCTCTCTCGCTCTCTCTATTCTCACCTCAAGGTCTCGGGCTCTCGGTCACATAACTCAGGGTGAGTCTGGCCTCGCTGAGGCACATTTTTCTGAGGACTCGAGGTGAGTCTCTGATTCCCGAGCAGCGGCGATCTATTCAGATATTCTAAGCGCGCCGTCGCTGCTTTTCAAAGCGACGGCAACGGTTTGCCGTCAAGCGAGCAGGCTCAACATTTGCTTCACCGGTTAGACTCCCCATTCAGAGCTTTTTGTCGCACATCCTGATGCCGATAAGTGGAGACGGCATTGGGTCATTTAGGCGGTTTGGTGGCCAATGACTGTGGTTCACTTTTCTGCTTATACTGGTAGTTAGCTTTTCTCGTTTTTTTTGTTGATTTCTGCAAATAAATATTTCAAGTTATATATTGCAACACATTTCAATATTTGCCGGGATGAGGCTGCTAGATTTGTAGGCAGGAGATCATAATTCCTCCGGTGTTAACTTTAATGGCAAGCAATCCGATATTTGCCTAGACATTACACATCTAGCAGGAGTGTACAGCTATGGTGGTGCTATAAGAAAAACCAAGGGACCATAGAAGTTACAATAGGTTTTATCCAGGATGAGATGCTTTACTCTGGATCCGGCCAACTGGCAACCATTGACATCTACGGGCGCCATGCAGCTGGTGGGGTAAAAATGAGCTTCGTAAACGTTTCAACTAAAAACTTGGTTGTTAAAACCCCTATTAGCAACGTTGCGTCTTCGTTAATATCTCCTGCCTGATTTGGCACGGGGATGTTATCAATATTGCAAAAATTAAAGGCAACAAGCCTTACAACCTTTCAAAGCACACGTGATTTGAAGAAGGAAAATAAGGAAGATGCAAGACTGAGTCTAATCACATTGACAGATCTAATCGCATTGATTGGTCCTAGCGGGACTGCTTCGCGATAGGATCCGCTGGAGCTAATTGTGTGGTTGGCCTTTGAATAATGAAGTGGCTGTCATGGAGGGGCAGGAGAAAAAAAAGAATAGCAGGTAAATATCAGCTCACTAACAGTGCTTTGCTCCTACCTTTCATGTTAATTACACCAAAGGTGATATGTCACCGACCAATTTGTGAAACTGGATGTGCTATCTGACAGCATCAACAAGGTATTCTAGAAACACCGCCTCGCGTAGAGAAATGAGAGATAAAGTGAATTTATTATACGGCAATTCTTCCAAATGGTTGTATTTAAGAAAAACTAATATTCACCATTTATGCAATAGAAAATACTGTACTTTGAAACAAGATGTCGTCCTTTGGTTTAAATATTCCTTCCCAACGTGACCGCATTCAACGTACTTTTTTACAGATAATTCATGTCTCAATAAATCTTCTAAGCTTTTCCAGTTTTCTGTTGTAATGCAGGAGCGCTGTAGTAAACATTTAGGCATCAATCGCGCCTGACGTAACGCTCCTGTGAATAAATTGGAACACGCACACATTTTGCAAAATCATTGATCACCCAAAGACAGTTTCTATGAATTTTGCGAATTGCCACGACACTAGACCCGAATTCGAGGGAAAATCGGAGTCCGTGATGGATTTCACACATCTGTAGTCAAGTGTCCTGAATGTCGCATGGGATTGGATGCATCCCAGAATAACACACATTTCATCCTTTGAAGGAAATGTAGCAGCAAGTTATACAAGTGAAAGTAAAAGTTTCACTATTGCAAGGTATAGTGCCAAATCATTTCCCAACACCCATCC